TCTGTATCATTTTTTCTAGTCTCTATTTTATTTGACTCTGTTATAATCTTTATTATTTCCTTCTTTCTTGCATTAGGTTTAGTTTGCTCTTCTGTTTCTTAAGGTTATTTATTAGGTTATTAATTTATTTCTTTCTCTTTAATGTAGGCTATAAATTTCCCTTAGAAATATTTTTGCTGCATTTCATAAGATTTGTTATAGTGTTTCATTACAAACTTTCATCTCAAAGTATTATCTAGTTTCCTTTGTGATTTCTTCCTTGGCCCACTGGGTGAGTGTGTGTTGTTTAATTTCCACATATTTGTATATTAAAAACATTTCTTTTTGTTATTAATTTACAATTTCATGTCATTGTGGTTGAAAACATACTTTGTATAATTTCAATCTTTTAAAATTTATTGAGACTTGTGGCCTAACATATGGTCTATCTTGGAGAGTGTTCCATGTGCACTTGAGAGGAATGTGTATCCTGTTGTTGTTGGGTTAAGTGTTCCACTGATGTCTATTAGATCTAGCTGATTTAGAATAGTTACTAAGCATTTGATTTCCTTGCTATACTTTATGTCTTTTGTGGATTTTTTTTTTTTTTTTTTTTTTGTCTAGTGTCCTTTCATTCAGCTCCAAGTACTCTGTTGAGCACTCACTTAGGACAGGTCTGCCAGCAATGAATTCTCAGCTTTTGTTCATCTGGGAATGCCTTAATTTCTCCTATATGTTCACAGACAGTTTTGCCAAATATAGAATTCTGTGCTAAGTTTTTTCCCCCCCAGCACTTTGAATATACCATCTAATGCCTTTTGGTTTCTACGATTTCTGATGAGAAATTAGGTATTAATCTTATGGAGGATCACTTGTACATTATGAGTTACATCTCTCTTGGTGTTTTCAAGATTCCCTCTTAGCCTTTGGATTACAACAGTTTGACTGTGTTGTGTCCCAGTGTAAATATTTTTAGTTTACCCAACTTGGAGCTCAGTGAACTTCCTGAATGTGTAATGTGTTACACCAAATTTCCAGTATCCTGACAATATTTCTTCAAATATTCTTTCAGATCCTTTCTTTTTTTCTCTGAGACTCCCATTGTATATTGTTGATGGTGCCCCAGAGGTCTCTGAGGCTATTTTCTTTCATTCACTTTTTTTTTTTCCTTTTCCTCAAACTGGAACATCTCAATTGACCTAATTTCAAGGTTTCTGAGATTTTCCTTCTGCTGCTCAAAACTGTTTTTATCCCTGATAGTCAATTGTTTCTGTCCTGTAATTCTCATGTCCAAGTAAGTTTCTTTTCTTAATTTCTATAAAATGTAACTTTAAATTATAATTTTAAAAATTATAAATTTATAAAATATTTTTATAATTATATCTCTTTATTATATTCTGTATTTGGTGAGACAGTCTTCTTATACTTTAGTTCTTCAGACTTGGTTTCCTTAAATCCTTGAGCATATTTAAAATAGTTAAAATCTTTGCCTAGTAAGTTCAGTATCTAGGCTTTCTGTTGGAAATCAGATTCTCTTGCCTTACCCCATTTGTTGTTGCTGCCTTTTACAACTGTGATTATATTTAGTGAGTTTCATGAACTCATTCTATACAATCTGTCTTGTCATGTGTGACCGCTTATATGTCTGATTCATTAGCTTAATTGTCAAGTAATGATTGGATGAAGATTTCCTTAAATGCCTAAAACCAAAAAATTGCTCAGTATTTGCTGAAGGGCTCTGTGTGCCTGTTGGAACATGTCTTGAACACTCAGCCAGACAGCTTATAACTTTTCTTTTGCCTTCATTCCCTGCTTGCTCAGATCCTCAAAGTCAGGTAGAGGTGAGAGATTAGGGTCTCTGGTTGTTTGTGAGCATGCACACAGTCCTAAATATGCACAGAGCCTTCTGGATTTCCAGAAAATATGTCAAGAGTTTTTCGAAGTCCTTATGAACATCTCATTCCCAACCTTTCTTCCAAAGCTTTCTGGTTAGTTTACTGTTTGCCCCAGCTGTTACCCACTGCTTCATGCAGCAGTGGCAGGTAAATATTTTAAATAAATTCGCCATCCCTACTACAGTAGAGGCTCAGTTCCATAACAGGCAAGATAAATTGTGAATTGGTTTTCCTGGGAGTTATCAGATGGCTCAAATAAGGACTATCTCCAGATAAGGTCCATTCTGCTCTTTCCCATACCATGAATGTGGTATGTTCTTTTCAAGACTATTGCTGAACTAGGGAGCAAGGTATGGAACTGGCATAAGTTAAAGCGCCAAAATGTTTGTTGTTCTTACTAACATTTGGCATTTTATTTTTAAGTAACTCAGGTTACTATGAGTTTTTGATTAGTTTCTAGAGTACTGAAAAAGTTGAGTTTGACCATTTTTTGAAGGCCAGTTTTATTGCTACCTTTATAAGGGCACAAAATTTTTAAATTCCTTAATCTACCATTTTTGCTCTCACCATGCTATTATATAATTTTACATCTTAATCAAATAGATAGTTAATAGAACCCAGTCATTATGATAATCTCAGACTAAACAATGGGTAGTTGTGGTTTGAAACTGTTTTCTGTGTGTGCTCTCAACCTCTTATATACCAAGGACATCTGATTGAATTATAAAGGATATTAGTTCACTGTTTTTTCTTGCCAACATGTACAAGCACTCTACCAAATTGCATTATGTTTATTTATAATACATGTAGCTATCTCTGTGCAAGACTGGGAATTCCTCAATGGGAAACACATGATTTCGCTATATTTTTAAACTCTGATGCTTATCACAGAGCCTAGTACCTACTAGATACTTAAGAAATGTGTTTAATAATAAGACTAACTAAAAAAATATCTATTATATATTGAGTTCTAATTTTAGTCCAGGCCCTATGCCAAGCAAGTTTCTAAACTATTTTTTAAAATTGTAAAATATACAAAGTTTACGTAACATATATGAAAAATTTTAAAGAATATTTAAATAGTACTAACAACCTAGCATAAGAATAAAACATTATCAGTAACTTCAACACATCCTGTGCTTCCCTCTCCATAATCTTAAACTGTATTAATCATTTCCCATATTTTCCTTACATATTTAGCATATGTATATTTATGAATCATATATCTTTTTACATTTTGTTAAAAATTCTATTAAAGTATTATTCTGATTTTTTCCCTCAACATTATGTATTTGAAAACCTTTCATTTTCTCACTGCTGTTCTCCATCATATGGATATATCTAAAGACATTTAAGCTTTAGCATTATTCTGGATAGAACGGGCTGAAGTAATAAATCCCTAAAGGAAGGATTAAAAAAAAAAAGCATCCAGGATCAAGCCCTAGAGTATGCCAACTTTTAGAAATCATATAGAGGCAAAAGACCCAGGGAAGAAGGTCAAAAGAGGGTTAGACTAATGAAATGAAAAGAAAATCAGGAAAAAGTGGTGCCATGGAAGCCTGGAAAGGATAGAATTTCAAACAGAAATGTGTGGAATGACATCGAAAGTTCAATAAATAGAGATACAGAAGAATCTGCTGGATCTGACAACATATAGCACCAATGAAAAGTGCTTATCAGGTAAGTTTCAGTGTAGTGGTGAGAGGCAAACTATCCCGGGATACTTTAAAGACAGAATGAGAAATGAGGAAGTAGATGACAGCATGTCTAAACCAGAAAAGGAAGCAGAGAAATGGAGGTGTTAGGATCTCAGAGGTAGAGAGGTTTAAAAAATATTATAAACATTACAACATTATGTATGACATTGAGAATAATCCTAGAGAGAGGCCAGTTGTTGCTGAAGCAAAATGAAGGGATAATCCAAAAAGAGAAGACTCTAATAAGAAGATGAGAAATGCAAGCCCGAGCATAAAGGGAATATCCTGTCATAGAAAAAGAGAGAACATCTCAAGTGCAAAACGAGGGAGGAGAGAAGATGGGTGTGATGTTTGAGAATAGGAAAATGAGGAAGATTATATAAGAGTTTCTAATCTTGGTGAATTATGAAGGATATTAACTGAGAATGTGGATGAAAAAGTCCTTTGGAAACATGGAAAGGTAAGTTTGCCAAAGAAACAGAGTAGAATCACAAAGCAATATTGAGTGTCTGTCTTAGTTCATTTGGGCTGCTATACCCAAATAAAGTGGCTTATAAAAACAACAGACATTTATTTCTCCCTGTTCTGGAGGCTGGAAAGCCCAAAATCAAGGTGCCAAAAGATGTGGTATTTAGTAAGGGCCCGCTTCCTCATTGATGGCTGTCTTCTCACTGTAACGTCACATGGTTGAAAGGACAGGGATCTCTTCAGCCTCTTGGGTAAGGGTACTAATCCCATTCATGAGGGCTGCATCCCGACAACCTAATCACCTCTCAAAAAACCCACCTCCTAATACACTCAGGTTTGAAGATTTCAACACGAATTTGGAGAAACATTTTTCAAACGATAGCAGTGCCCATTTGAACACTGTAATCACGAATTTCGAGTCAAGTCAATCAGTCCATTTGTGTCATCTTCTTCCTCAGGTAATATCCACCTGCTCAAGTGAAGGCATGGAGAAAGAAATGGAAAAGTTCAAACACATAAGGGTTTTGCCATTCAATCACCTTCCCTCTCTGAAAGAAGGGCAGACATCCATTTTCTAGGTTATACTTATGCCAAATGAAAATGGTTCAAAATACAAACAATGGAGTAATAGCAAAGTTAGGTGTTACATTAATGGATTACTACTTGCAATGTTTTTATTTTGCCTTAGTTCTCAAGATCATACATAGCACATTTTGCCTGTGAATCTTTCACTCATTACCTCAGTTTTGCCCTATATTGTACTTCCATTTCTATTACTGCATTTTCTAAAAACATGTCAATAGGATATGTATCTATAGGATAACTGCAATGATTGCTGCTCTAGAAATATTTTATTTGAAAAAAACAGGTGAAAAGCAAAATATACTTTTTCCTATAAAACAAAGGAGTTCACTTATGGCAAGGTGTGAATCTTTTCACTGTAGAAATAAATTATATAAAATTTAAGTTCTTGAGTTATACTTTATTTTCTGTCTTTTATATATAACACATACTCATTGAAGGGAAAAGACTAAAAATACAGATTTATACCTAAATGGGTAATGATTACATAATCATTCTGACTCCAAAAAGAATTGTATTAGTTATAAACAAGTATAAACTTCAAATAGGTCATATAAATACTAATTTGTCATATACAACATAATTTTCTACAAATATTAGTTTTATGCTATTACTTTTCAAAATATTTCAAACTAGTTATTTTTTTCCTTGTGCTTCAGTTTTCTCATTTGTAATTTAGGGACTTACTCCTTTTTATAGATCTACTAGAAATTAAGCTTTTTTCTGCTGATAAGAATGTCAAATCAGGCACATTGGGATTTATCCCTTTAAAAATACAGTCATTTTGAATCTTCCTAACAGGTAATGGTCTAAAGTAAGAGTCCAGTTACACCGTGGAGATAAGACACACTGCCCACTGGCAACTCCTCCTCTGGCAGTTTTTTTTTCTCCAGTGTTTGAACAGATCATTGTTTCTTTAGTTTGAACACCAGATAAAATTTGCAGTTGGTTGGATTTGGGACCCATATTGTATGACAAATACCTTTCTTCAAACAGCAGACTTAGACACAGCTCAGGCTGTCTACACACCCAGAAGTCATTGGAAAGGCTGAGCTCCACCTTGAGTTCCATCAAGGGCTCCCACAGAGTGGAATCCACCCTATTGAAATTACTTTTCACTCTCCTTTTTTTCTCATCATTGCTGAGTGTATATTTAAAATTGCATAAAAATGTATGCAGTCAAATATATACAGTATGCTAAAGTAGAACAGGAATGAGATTCACTGCCATATATACCAGGAGCACAATTCACTGTTATTTTTCTTTCTTCTAACAACTCTTTAAGGGTAGCTATTTTGGGGACAGAGACATAGGCTAGGTACAGAAAAGCTACTAGGTATGACTATTCATATTAATAGGAAAGCAAATGAATCTTTAGGTAAGGAGACATTTATTAGGTCATATCCTTATACTAATTCTTAATTTAGACAGAATTTTTATGTGCTGTTAATTTAGAACTAGTCTTGTAAAAAAAATTCTTCAAACCTTTCATACTACTTTATGCTTCCTCAATATAGGGGAAACTGCAGAGCTGGAGAGATAGCTAACAAAAAAATAGAGCATCTCATATTTAGAATAGATACACAGCAATACAAACTCAGGTAAACATGTTACTGAGACAAAAAAAAAAATATCGGGACTCACAATGTTATGATACAAAGAAAACTAACTATCAAATTTTAAAGTAAAAATTCAAAGAATAAAAAATAATCTTCAGTGTTTTAGAAAGGCCGTATTTTGCTAACACAATGAAATAAGATAATCAGGCAAGAAGCGTCTGCACTTGCTGTGGCGATCTGTGAAGAATGTTCTCTGGATCTTTGTATTCATTGATTGGATTCATCACAGCTGCATACACTTCACCATAGGCTCTGCAGACTAATTCTGTAGACTGTTTTATGATCTGCTCTCTATAGATATACAAACAAAGCATAAACACATCATTGGACAGAAATGTATTTACTTAAGAATTATAAAACAGCTTGACACTTCAATCAATACAGTTCATTTTCATTATCATTACACATATACTATTTAAGAATCACTATATGGCTACACAGTTAATCCTGATTTGGGATAAAATATGCTTTTATATTTATTATTTATTAAATCTTTCTACATTACTATATAGGTTCCAGAGGGCATGGACCGTGTTTTGTTCCTGATATATAACGAACTGGTATATATTTGTACCTGATATACAGTGGACTGCTAAATAAGAAACAAAAACTGTGACCCAATGTCAATGTATTGATATTGCAAAAGTAACTGGTAACACATTAAAAGAAAGATGCTTACAATTGTTCAAATTTATCAACACTTTTATTTCTCAGAAAACTTGAACTGCTCTTTCGCCTACAGTTTTTACACTAACAACCATATCTCCTAGCTTTCTCTTCATCTCTCTATATTACCCCAAGCTAAAATGTGACACTTGCTTGCAACAAATCACAGATTTCTCACAAATATACATTTCTACAAAAGCACACAAAAGAATACAGTCTTGCAAATGTTTACTAAATTATCCAGCTAGAAGAAACAGTATTGGGTTCATTAAATCTGCAACAACTCTCCCACTCCATGACATTAACTTCCTGTCATCCCCAGCTACTTGTACTATTCATACATCACTATATCTGGTCATGAGAACACTGGCACTAGTTTTCTGATTTTTACAAAAACTAAATTAAAAATGTGTCTTTAAAGCTTTGCTTCCAAACCTCCTTTTATTGTAGTTTCCTATTTCTGATAATGGCATAGCGATGTCTTACTACCTCAGCTCAGGTTCTAAAATGATCTCTTGCTTGGAGTAAACAAAAAACCTCCTAGATGTGCGATGGTCTTCCCTCTTTCAGTCTCTTCCATATTCAATCCATCCTAGGCACTGTTGTTAGGTTAATCTTTCTGAGGGATACTCTCTATCACATCTCTCTCTTACCTAGGCCTTCTAAGAGCTTCAATGGCCTCCTTTGGTTTCAGAGAAGCCAACATTCCTTCTCCTATCATTCAAAATAATCCAACATTTTCCCTATTACTACTCTAATTCCAGTGCAACCCCTGACTGTCCTCTCTGCTCTGATCTTGCTGATCTCAGTTCCTTTACTCATACTTCATTTCCCTAGAATGCCTCTTTCACCACTTTTAAATGCTAATGTTCAGCAAAAATGTTCTCTCTTATCCATGAAGTCTTGTCTGATCTTTAGAGGCTGAAATAATTACTTCCTTTAACAATGTCCACGGCACTTTTTCTGTTCCTTTCATATGGCTTTTACCACTCCTAACTTACAATAAGCCTTCTACATTTTCTTGACGTTCAGATCCCAACAGCTTTGTATTGAGAAGGGGTTAGTTCTGCATCAAATGTGTATGACCGCAATATAACCCAATTTCAAAATGTACTTTAAAAATTAACAATTATAGAAATATATGTTGTTCATGTCTTACCTGTCCTGCAAAATTTCAAGTAACCTGACACTGTTCATGTTCATATGTCCTTTAAAACCCAGTATATTTTAAATATGATGGATGCTCAATAAATACATGTTCACTGAATGCTTGACGGAGAAAAATAAATTTTTCCTTATTTATAGTCCTATTCTGGGCTCTTGAACCACCACCATTTTTCATAAATGCCAAATCAGTGGCTATTTCAGGACAAACTGTTTCTTCACATAGTCAAGAGTACATGATTTTGACTAGCCAGACTAACGTAATAGTTATAGCAGTGTGTTGTCACACAAGTCAATGTCATGAAGTCATCATCAACAGAACACATTCTTTGTTTTTCTAGGAATTATGTTCTTGCATACAATGACTGTAAGAAAATAATGCTAATAATGGAGAAAATAATACGTTTTTAAGATGATCTGTGGAAATATATGCATCTGTAGTCCAGAACAGAACAAAAACAGTTGGATGGAATGAGGAAAGAAGTCCACTTATGATCTTGGAACATAAATACACTGTTCTAACGGGGTCCAAACTCTTGGTGAGTTGAAGTAACTTGACATTTTCCAAAAACTGCTAAAGTTTCCAAAATGACAGTGAGTAGAAGAAAGACATGCTAAGTCAATTTTCTGAGTGGAGTAGGGTACAACTACCGGTTATACTACCTTTCTGTTGAAAGGAAAGGGATGATGGTAGAAACTGGTTTAGAAAACTACTTAACTAAACGAGGCTTGGAGATTTTTTTTGTTTGCTTTGTTTGAGACAGAGTCTCACTTTGTCACCCAGGCTGGAGTGCAGTGGCGCAATTTTGGCTCACTGCAACCTCTGCTTTCCCAGTTCAAGAGATTCTCCTGCTTAAGCCTCCCCAGTAGCTGGGATTACAGGCATGTACCACTATGCCTGGCTAGTTTTGTATTTTTAATATAGACAGGGTTTTACCATGTTGGCCAGGCTGGTCTTAAACTCTTGACCTCGGGTTATCCACCCACCTTGGCCTCCCAAAGTACTGGGATTATAGGCATGAGCCACCATGCCTGGCCTGGAGATAATTTTTGATCTATTGATTGGTAATATTTCCTATAATTAAATTTGCTTGACAATGTAACAAAATAATGCAAAAATTATTTTTCATTAAAAAGTACTATAAACTAGTATTTTAAAACCTTGTTAGATATAACATACATTTGATATCTACTTTTGCAACAAGTCAGATACTGGATTTTAGAAATAATGTTCTTAGTTCTTTTCCAAGGGCAATAACATAGGTTTCTGAGAGGTGTATAAAGCACTCATTACTCATGCCTCATACTCAAGTCTATATTCAATCTCAATACAGCATCTATTTGATAGTATATAAGGAGTACACAGAAACAAGGCTATCTTTCTCATAAAAGTATAAAATAAGAATAATGTATAATTATAAATATTAAATATGGTTTTTAAAAGTTCAGAGTGACTTGTAAATGTAGTTTTGTTGAAACTTCTGAAAGAGTGAAATTTAAATTTCATTTTCAAGTCCTATTGATGAAAAAATTTTAAATTTACTGAAATTTAGTTGTAACTTCACACGTTTGTTTCTAAGCTAAATTAACTCACAAATAGTTGTAACAATGAAGCTGAAAATCCATTGTAAGTCTGCAATAAAGAAAAATAAAATAAAGCAGTACTGCATAAACACAGATAATTAAATAAAATCAAGCCATTTTAAAGCAAACAAGAGTTAATAATTTATTTTAAATTTTGGTGTTAGATGGTATAGCACATCTTCATTCTGCTCCTCAGTTTAAGAAGCCACTGAGATAGGGAAGGGGTTAAAAAAAGAATATGCATATGGTGGAGAAGATGAAGAAATAGCAAAGCTGGTGGATAAAAAGAAATCTTCATGTACTACAAGAAGGAAGGAGGAAGGAAAAAAAGCAAAGGATAAGGAAGGAACTACTCCTCCTGGCCTGTTAACTAACTGCTAAAGCCAATAGAATCGAAATAAATAGAAAAGGGAGATTCTCTAAAGTGAGTCTGAGTCAAACTCTAACTATAAAGACCAAGAACTCTGGCTGACAGTGTGATTCCACATTTCTGAACAAACATGAGTTCCCTTATCACTACCAAAGCAATAGGTTCCTACACATACTTTCATTAAATATTTTCTAATTAGTTCTATATGGTACAGTACAGATAAAATGGTACAGTGAAAGAAGACTTACGCTCTAATTGAAGCTCTGTCACTTATTACCACTGCCTTGAACACGTAATTTAACCTCTTCAAGACTGCTTTCTCCACTATAAACCAACTACTGAACGAATCTATATAAGGTACTTTGAGCTTTTAAGCTATTTTATTCCACTGAGAGTTAAGAGTATTTTAATGGGCTATTGTTTTAAAAAAAACTACTTATGTGAATAAATACATTACATGTACATACACAAACATTATTTTGGGAAACTTAGACCTAATTTAGATGCTATTCTCTCAGACCTTATTTTGGGTAACTTAGTTTCCCAAAATAATGATTTATAAAAGCATATCAGTGATTTGTATGTAAATGGATGTTTCTATAGTGCTAAAACCAGTTTATTCTCTTGCCAGTTTACTATACTTTTTATTTATAGTAATAATTACTATGTAAATTCATCCTTTATCTTAAGAAGTATATTAAGTATCTGTGTATCAATCAATTGATCTATCTATCTATATTGTCTGCCAGCCTGCCTGGTGTCTTAGCCCAAATTATTCACTAATTACTAATATCACATATGAAATATAGAGTCTCAAATAATAATGAGTCATTATTGTGATAAATAATCAATGTTCAAAATGGAAAAGTTTCCGGTATTCTATGACTAAATCCAAAATGACCAACAAATCATCTCAGTTCAGCCATGTGCCTCTGAAAGTTTGGAACTTCCTTATCAACTAAATACCCTATGCAGAGGCAGTGAAAGCAGTGCATGCTGAACACTGGTTCTAGCATGGGCATCCACCTGATTTTACTTACGTACTATTTTGATCAATCACAGCCTAGCCCACAGCTGATGGGGAGTACTTTCAGAATTGTTCTGTGTTCCTGCTTTTCACAAGACCAAAGGATATGCAAAAAGACCAGTTGAAAAGGAGATGTAACTTTTTATTTGTATATAAGCTATGATCATCTGTAAAGGTAGAGCATTAACTTTCCTGGTCTCTTTGCTACCATGAAATCTTCATAAATATTAATTTATTAAGTGATGTCCTATGGGCCTTCGGATAGTTTAATTATCTTCCCAGTGTAAGTATAATTTTCAAAAAATTAAAAACATGATTCTCATAAAAATAAATAATGATGGGTCAAAAATTTAATAACTAATTAATGAGGAAACTACTAAGAAGGTAAAACTGGTTCAAAGTGCATTTTGACAAACTGGTCATTTATAGGTATTTGGAAAGTACAGTTATAACAAAACAGGTTAGGTAAAAATGTGCTAC